TCATACTTTGCGATTCGATTAGATTCGCTCGATTCGCTAGCGAATCGCCGGCGAATCGATAGCGACGAGCGAATCGCTAATCGAATTGCAAAGCATGACGTCGGCCTAATTCGGATCTGCTTTCTAAATCTGAAAGTGGAGTCCGAACAGAGTCGTAGGATGCACAAAATCGCCTCTGAGGGTATCTATCTCCGAAACGCGAATATCACATATGTCTCCTGCAGGAAGGCCTGTCATGAGTTATGTGGGCTCCATGTGCGTCGTCAGCCAACTTGATGGGAATTCCTCGCAATTTCTACTGCCGCCGCTTTGTTTTGCTTCATAACTCCATTCAGATGAGAGATTGCCACATTTGGAAAGCAGAAATCAGCGTCCAAAAACACATACATCAGAGTAGATCACGTTGCATATGACCACTTCGTCCTCCTTTCCTGGTCGGTAAAGGCATTGCTATCACCCTTTCCTGGTCGGTAAAGACACTGCATATATGTACACTGCATATATATACATATATATACGTATATATACAGGGGTGGCCAAAAAAAGAGACACTTTGCCCATGGCGCACATCATCGAACTTTTCGTCGCACAGGGAGCCGATGTTAATGAAAGTTTTACGGCGGAATATTCCTTAGGTGTTCCCAGTAACAGAAGCAGGCCCTCCTTCACTGCCCACATGCATTAAAGAATTTTGTCTTGCTTCCTTTTATTTTTTTTTCTTTTCTTTCGATCGCCTCGTACTTTTTCACACTTGTGCGCATGTTAACAATACAGCCTAACACAAAATGCACCAGATAAACAGTGTTACCTTCAATACGATTGGTCGGAGTATTTCTGGAACAACAGCGATAACAATATTGTACACAACAAGACTCATTAAAACAAATTTTGACAGCAACATTAACAGAAACTCGAACACATTTCAAACGCGACCACTGCATCTAGCGTTTTTTTCTTTTCCCATGTTTTCTAGCCGATATTTGCAACTCCGTTGAGATGAATATGGCACGTTTCTGAAAAAATACATCTGCTTTTTAATTGCCTTGTACGCGTTTCAGGTTTACAGTAGAACAACTATACAAAAAATGTCCGGAGCAGAAGATAAACGAGTGGAGGTAGAGAGTGGAGTGCAATTCGTGGAGCGGCAAAAGACCAAGAAGACCAAGAGTACTGATCGGGGCGAGGTCCCACTACCAAGCGATCAAATTGCTGCACTGGCAAAGGAATGCATACCATCATGGATAGAAAGTGGGAGAATTCCGAAACCGCCTGTTGAGCTTTCAGACGGTGGGCTTCCGTTATTGATTGCCGACAATGTTGAACATTTACTGATGTCCCAGATAAAACTAAGCTTATTTTCAGAAGTGTATGCTCCAAGCATACCGTCAAGAGGCTACCAATTCTGTATGGTGTGCGGAAAACACAAGAAATTCACTAGTTTAACAGGTCATATACAGGATAGCCATAAGGAATTCGCGGAGAAATGGGAGATACAGGTGAACAGTTTGCCTCCTAGAGTACGGGAATGATAAGACTGTTCCTCTTTTTTGTTTAGGTTCTAGTGCACACGGGTCGCGGAATGCTAGAAAGAACGAAGAAGGCAAGCGTTGACTTCACGCGGATACCGGAACCAAGGACTGACCGAGAGTGGGACACGTACGAAGAAATAGTGGCTCAACTACGGAACGGCGGGGTTCCTATTTATGGGGTCCTCTTCATCCATACAAATCACATCTTTTATTCTTGCTTCATCCATTCATCATCGCCACATCAAGGTGCAGTGTTACAGGTTTTGGAGCGACAAGTGGTGCTCCGTGAGCGTTATCTGGCGGCTAATCCCCAAATGCAATTCAAACAGCTGGAACTCATGGATCAAGCAGGACCGTCTGCTCAAGGGGCTTCAACATCGTTTCCATCGGTGTGGATACGCTAACTTTAGGAAATTTCAATCGCTATCTATTTTTCTAATCTGATCAGGCTGAAACTTCCCTTTTGCAGACGTACACGCTTCCAGAAACGTTTAGTGCTCCGCACATACCGCGCGAATATGAGTACAGATTTGCTTATGACGTGCTATACAAAGGTTAGCCAATCATGTGAGTTGAAGTAATACAACAAGCTAACCGAATCTGCATGCAGGTTATTCATCCCCACTTTACGAGTCGGTACGTATCGGACTTGATGTTCAAGTACTACGATGACGAATACACGCCGGACTATTTCGTGCAAGACTATACTGTACCAAAAGAGTCGGGTAGGTTTCCAAGGACTGACTTAGTCATAAGAATCAACCACATGGCAAAACGCTCTTCACCTGCCACATTTTCAAGGATGGATGAGAGGCGCGGATATATCAACGAAGTTATGGAGAACACCCGATTTTGATGCAATTCAAGCCCTATCTCAAAAATTTTATAGTAAGAAGTTTCTGTACCTACAAGACGCATGTGGAATTTTACGCAAATATTTCAGCTAATCGGTGGAGAAGAGCCATATCTGAAGTCGCTCGACCGTAGTGCAGTCCACATGGCATACGTTTGCTCGGTTCATGCTTATAGCGATGAGAGCACGTCAACGGTGTGTGAATCCCTGCTAGCAGTGTTCGTTTTGTGGAGAAGGACTAAAAAGTTTAGGTGCGGAAGAATTGTTACTGTGGACGATGCGCTGTTTTCTCACTGCATGGTTGCGGAATTCCTGCAAGTGACCCAAAAACACGCAGTGACAGTCCATGTTCGAATGGGCTTTATCAAGTCGCTGATCGCTTTCTACAAGTTCCTGAAAGTTCATATGGACCCCGGTACATTTCACAGAACTTTTTTTTCACCCATTGGACTTTTTTCAACCATTTCCATACACATATAAACATACGCTTGTCGACAGTCGCCGGAGAAGGCAGGATACCGATTGCGAAGAACGCGCTTGATATTATGAAGGGCCACTGTGCACGTCTGAAGGACGAGGAAGCGAAAGCCGCATTGCAAAGGGAATCGTTTCTATGGGAAAGCCTAAAAAGGTCGTTACTCTAGACAAAACAAGCACTTAAACTTATATTAAAGGATAAAGGATAAAGCATTTGCCGTTGATCAATCCCTTTTTGGGATGCGGCACGCATTCTACTTCCATTTGTACATTCGTAGTGGCGTTTGAATGCGATGTGGCCTATACAATGACTTGCGGGGCCAGCCGATGTACAAGTCAGTGTTTTTATCCTCCCAGACAAGTCTGGTACCAATTAACCGACCCCGGAGGGATGGAAGGCTTGGTTGGCCCGGGCGACTCACGACCCAGGATTTGATCCCCGGACCGCTCGCGTGGTAAGCGTGCCACTTGCCACTACACCACTTCCGCCCACATTATATTATGTTATTCAAATTTTTGCTCTTTCCAGAGATGCGCGCTGTATGGAGCGATGCGAGCGGTCGTCAATCACCGCATTATCAACGAAAAAATTGAGGAAATTATGAAAAAGTTTGCGAGGAATTCGAGAGAACTGCTTCATGTGGAGTACAATTTCTTGATGAGGTATATATCCTACTATATATAATCGGCTAAGCGGTTGTGTGTGTGTCTGACCGGAAATTCATAACTTCACTCCCTTTGGACCCAGAGCGCTCAAACTTCTAGGATATATAGGGGGCTGGAGGTGAACACTGATGATGGGTGGCGGGAAGTGATAACTACTGATAGGAGCTGATAACGGACGTCGAAATGTTGATGTCACCAATTTCGTTACGCCGTTCGCGTTGACGGTGGAGAGTTTGCACTCATGTATGATATGTGGGGTGAGGCGGGGACCAAGAAGTTGAGTGAAAGAATGTGGTAGCAACTGATAAGAACTGATAAGGGGCGTCAAAGTGTGGATACCACCAGTTTCGTTGCGGCCCTTGCGGTTACATTGGAACCTTGGCTCTCACATGTGGTATAGGGGATGGGACGGGAACACGGATAGTGGATGATCAAAAGTGATAACAAGCGATAACGGTTGATAAGGAAGTTAGGATTTTGAGTACTGCTAATTTCGTTGTAGCCTTCGTGGTGACAGTAAATATTAGCTCCTACACGTTGCCTGGAGGGTTGGGACCGGGACACCGATTGCAGTATGAACTGATAACAAATGACAAGGAATGATAAGAGCGTCTGAATGCAGGTCTCTCCAACTTCGTTGCAATTATCACTGGCAAGCGATCAAGGTGGCGAGGTTGAATGTAGGTGACAGAAAGTGGTATGAGCGGCAACTGTACTGATAAAAGTAGCGAAAATTGAGCGTGCACTCAGTGAACTAAACCAGGTCCCTAGCACGTGAATATGTTCCATTCCTATCCTTTCATCCAAAGAAGCAAGAAGAAGAAAGTTGAGCTGCTCAACTATCTGGACTTGGACTAATAGCGAATTTCCATCATATTTGCAATTTCCATCATGGTTGGATGCTGATTGATTGGTTATATTTCACTTACACATTCTTCAATTGTGGAAATTCTATAAACCGCTAAATCATCCGAGCTCGATATCAATGCTAAATGTTTACGAAGTCATGATAAGTACCATTTTCATTCCGCATGCTACTGCGCGCATTACGCGACAATCTTCAGCAAAATTGGACAACCTTTGAAATTCATGTGACACATCTTCCAAACATCTTACTTAGTTTCTCAGCCACGTGACCTAATATTCAGCAAGTTGTCCAGTTTCACTAAAGCCCTACCATGTGATGCGCGCGGTTGCGTGCGGAGCTAAACTGGTGATGTATATAGGTACATCGACGGAGGTTGCAAATGAATGAGAAAGAGCGTCCTGGACTTATACACGTCACCATATTGCAGCGCTCTATTCGCGTACATTATGGTCTGCAGTGGCTCAAGGAACGAGATAGCCTGCAAAACGGTAGTAGAGGAGACAGAAACAGCTTTCCAACCTATGGGACTCGTTAAGCATGTGGAATCGGACGAGGACTTTTGGGTAAAGCTAGAGCTGTTCTATCAAGTTTACGTACGCTCGTATGGCAGTGGATCTTGGAGGTTTCAAACAAACCATTTTTGACCAGCAGTTACCGGGTATGACTTCAGGTTGTGCGTTTCCCGCAACCGAAACAGCAAGGATCGGGTTCGAGAGACGACATGCAAAAGTGGCCTCTTTGTTCTGGACAAGAAATCGTATGCATGGTTGCAACACTACAAGAAACTCCGTAGCTATAATATTAGGTCGGTCCACAATTTTTGAGAACCTTTGGTGTTTTTCGATTTATTACTTATCTTATTTCTCTGATCTACTTATCCAGCATAGTATACATCATTATTATTAACAACATATCACCAATGCGAGGGTGGGTATTCAGTGCCTCTCTTGTGGACTTTCATAGAGTTCTGATCGAAGGAAAATTGTAGTCCCGAATCAGTTCTCAACCCAATCTGACATCATCAAGTTCCTGTTGGTTTCCTATAGTTCCTTCGGATGACCATCTATAATACTCATTGGTGATGTGGACTGGGTGCAGTGTGCTAACAAATCCACGAGCCGCAGTAGATTTGCTCAAACGATTCGGGAGTTCTGACAGTACAAACCCAACTCCCTCTGAATTCGAACTTCCTGAGTCGTTGGCGCAATACGGGAGGGCCTTTGCGCTGAAGACCGGCATCAACTAATACCAGTGTCAGTGATGGGAAGAATCGTTGACAGCTTGATGGCAACGCCTTCAACTTGAAAGCAAAGGAAGACAAAATCTATTTTTCTCTGAGGTCGTTCGAGCCCGCCTTGCTAAGAAAATTCCTAAAAAATTGGAGACTCTCGGGCGGTCAGTTCTTTTAGCTCCGCCTTGTAGCACTAATCCTGCGTCAACGAACGACTATCCGCTCTCACACTTCTGGAGAAGAAATCTCACTTGAATCACCATAAAGTCAAAATCGACATCCAATATTTCTTCGATCAGAACTCTATGAAATTCTACAAGAGAGACACTGAATACCCACCCTCGCATTGGTTATATGTTGGTAATAATGGTGATGTATACTATGCTGAATAAATACATCAGAGAAATAAGATAAGTAATCGAAAAACACCAAAGGTTCTCAAAAATTATGGACCGACCTAATAGTATGCCCGAGTAGGAAACTTAGCACATGTAGATTGGAATAACGTCGATTGTTTTCAGTGTTGTCCTGCAGCATGGTCTTGCTCCTTCTTCCTGTTGTGGAGCGGCACGCCAGCGTCGCGTTCGTCTATTCCATATCTCTTTAAGCGGTTTTTCAAGACAATAAATAGCGAAGAAATGCTTATCACATGCAATGCGGTAAGTGAGCAATTGCAAGTAGGTGATTGTGCTCAATTGAAAATACCATTCCGTCGAAGCATAGGTAAGACACGCAATTTCTGGGCGCAACTTCGACGAATTCCTGGACCAAGACAGGGGGACTAAAGCCAGTCGATCCGAACATTGCCGCGATGCTAGGTTCGTAAGTCATGTTTATAAATTGATAGAAAACACATGTCTCACTTTCAAGGCACTCCGAAGAAGTCCAAATGCGACATTACGTGGACAGTTTCTCAAAATCCGTTGTGAAGGGATACCGTATTGCAAGATTGTTGGCCGAGAGACAAAAGGGATTATTTGGGGCTGATATAGCGGCGGCCGAACGACGTGTAAAGTTCACGGGGTATGGCCAGTCAACTGTTTCTAGAATTTGAAAAACTCTCTTCTCAAGTGTGCGCTGTCTCAATTTTGCAGTTTGTCCAAAATGGCCATGCAGATTGTCGTACACGGACGAACCCTCTTTGGAAGATGAAGACGATGCTGCTGTAGCATCCGACCCCACCGCATATGTTCCCTCAAAGAAGATTTGCAGTTAGTATCAATTGAAGAGTGTCCATTTTTTTAAACAGGTACAGAACAGTTCAATGTCGCATAAGCATATTTGATTAAGAGGTGCGTGATGATGGAGC